CTCCAGCCCCGGCGCGGAGCCGGGCTCCTGTCACAGGCCCCGCTGAGGCCGCTCGGACTCCCTGGGAAGCAGCAGGGGGAGGGACCCTGCCCGGGACTGGCAGCCGGGGCAGGTGCGGGGCGCCTTGCCCGGCCCGCGCACTTCCCGGCGCTTTCCCGTGCCCTGTTCAAAGCTTGCCTCGCCGTCCCAGCCGAGGAGGTTTCAACACGGCTGTGGAAACGCAACGGTTTCCTCGCCACTGGAGCCATGCACCTGCACCCCCCTTCCCCTTGCCGGCCTGTGGCTGTTTCCCATGCTGGTGCACACATGATGTGCCCACACCAGCCCCCTCATTCCCTGATGGCGGGTGTCGGACATACACGGACAGTGAACAACCAGTGGCTGCATTCAGGACTTTTGAAATCGGGATTTTTAGACATTTAATTAATATGGCAGTTCTCCCCGCTAAATTAAGAGCTGCTGCATTTTTATCTTAGAGACCTTCACAGATCTCTGATCACCAGTGACAAGGGAAGTGATATACTTTTGTCAGCTATAGCAATGCTTTTCATAGAAAACATAACATTTTAGTAAGGAAGAGCCAAATGTTTCTTTAGCTTTTTCATGTGACTCGCCATCTGTGGTGAGAGAGAATGTCAAGCCAGTACTGCATGGCCAGCCCTGCACAGGCCACTGGGGACTTGGCCACAGCATGGGATCTACTGTTTTAAAGCAAGCCCATGCAATCAAGGACTAAATTTATTTTAACCAAGCTATTGGCTTGATGTGTTATTTTTAATATCTGTTGGTTGACCCAACAAATCCCCAGTTTCTCTTGTTGTTTAAATTTTGAAAAAACACTATTTTTCATTCATTGTAACTGTTAAATGAGAGAAGTCACACATTGGGGAGGGTAGCTGCAAGGGTTCTCAGAAAGCATCATCCCTTTCTGGCCTATGGTCATCTTGTGTTTTATGCAAGTGTTTTGTAGTTAATTTTAGAAGGGGTTTGCATACTCAAGAGCCTTTGCCTGTGGATTTGAAGGGCCTACATTTTGAAAAAAATTGTGTTTGAATGAATGCTTTCTACTATGGTGGCATATAGATTTGCTGTAAATTTTAAAGCTTAAATTGGAGTTCATGTCCTTTTGGATAGGTCAGCCCTGGCTTGCTGAAATGGAAAATAGTTTTGAGAATAGGCTTTGATGCAACATCAGAACTCTGACTGAAAACAGTACCTCCCAGGGTAATTTTGAAAGCTAGAACAGACTGACACAATTGTTAGTAAGTGGGATATTAGTGGAGGAAACATGTGTCCTCTCTCTACTAGCAGGTCCGAGACAGGTTAGGAAAAAAACTTTGTTCCAGATTGACCAGAGTTCAACTAAAAGCTACTTTTTGGGAGAGTGAAAATGGTTTTTGTGGAGCAACAGAAACATTTTCTGCTGTATGGGACAGGTTCACCCCACTGAGGAACACGACACAATGTAACGTGTAACTTTCCCGTGTGGTCTTTTGCTTGTGAACCCAGGTTTGAAATATGTGATGCACAGCAGCCTGAAAGTATTTGCAAAAAAGCTCACTGTTCTTAGTCAGAACCCTTGAGCCAAACCATTGGTGGCTGAGGAATCTGGTACAAATACAATCCAAAATCTAAAGTTGTCTTTCAGTTATTTCCAAACACACCTCATAACCTGCTGGGATATAAGGAATCGTCATAGACTGACCATTACTAACAGTTGATTCATTTGTTCTTTGCAGAGATGCAGAAGATGCAGTTTATGGGAGAAATGGGTATGATTATGGAGAGTGCCGATTGCGTGTTGAGTTCCCTAGATCATACAGAGGACGGGGTGGAGATTTTGGTGGAGGACCCCGGGGGCGGAATGGCCCTCCATCACGACGTTCTGAATTTCGAGTTCTTGTTTCAGGTAAGTTGTATTCCATACTTGAAAATATTTTGCTTTGTATCCCTGTCCTGGGGAGAAGGAAGTTCTCATATTGCTCTGCTGATTATAAGTTTTTCTTATAACATGAACGTCTTCCTATAAAGGAGTGTCCCACTGCTGTAGAGGACAGAAAATCCTGTCTGGTTTGATTCATGAAACAGTCATATCTCTTGGAGCTCATATTAAGTGAATGGTGAGCAGAAATGTCTTCACAGATCCAGATGTGACCTCAGGCTTGGATTCTGAAGAGAGCCAGCATCTTGTGAGTGGGCAGGTAGGCGAAGGGAGGGAGAAGAACTTGGGCACCATTTTTCTATGAAGAAAAAGTTCCACCTAGCTTCGAAACAGTTTCCAACAAATCCCATCATTAAACAAAAAGGATTTGTTGGAGCAAATGATGCTCAGATAGGATCTGACATTTTGTTTGTTTAAAAAAAATATTTATTAAACTGATCTACGTCTCAGCAGCTCCACACAATCTACTCATTATTGGAGAGAATGACTCTAAGGGACCTAGGATGAGAGCCCTCCTCAATCAACAACCAGTGGGATCTATTTTAAACAACTTGGAAAGGCCATCCAGGTAGTGAGTTGTCATAGGACATATGGGTGGAGAGGGCTTTTTGCAGGAGAGACAAGAAAGGTCTGCAGTGCAGATCAAAAATGCAAAGTGAAATTCAGCACTTACTGAATTTTTAAAAGGAATCAGTCCCTTAATTAAAAAAACAAACAAACAAGCCCTCCCACTGCCAGAGCTTATACCTATGCATCATGTTAAAATATAAGTTGCTAAATTCTCATTTCTCTGCTTGCCCCTGTAACTTTCTAGCTATAAAAATTCCCTGTGTGGAATCTACTCCAATAAAATACCTTTGGCACCCTAGAAGGATTGGTACCCTAGTCATTGAAACAGAAAGTACACCTCCTCCTCTTCAGGAGTGAGGGTAGAGGAGAATAACTGTAACTATGACCATTATGGAAATCTTCTGTGCTAAAAGGCACTATAAAGCATTCATTAAAAATACCAGGCCCCTTAGCACGCTGGATTTTCCAGTGCATTTTTGGGAAAACTTGTCCTTCATCTTCACATGGGAAACCTGCTGCTGGTTACAAGCTTAGCTCCAGAAAGTTTTACTCATGACTGGAGAATGAGCTTCTGGAATCTCAGGATGAAAATTAATTTCTGATATGAAGGGGACTGGCCTGTCTTGGATGGGAAATGGAGGCTGAGTAACTCTTTTAAAAAGTAATAATCTACTTTTGAACAGAATCTTCATTTCAAATGTACTGGGTTGAGGGGTAGATTTAAGTTATTTTGCGGCAGCAAAAAGAACGGATACTTCTGAACTTTCAGCACTTTGAATTCCAGAGAGACTGATCATCAGTTTGGAGGACTCAGCTACTTGTTTTCTGGAATGGAACTTAGCTTTCTTGGATTCCTGTGTTCTCGTTGCAGTGTTCAACGTCAGGAAGAGTGAGAAAGCATACAGAAGTGATCGAGCCCTTGGCATGGCAGGGTCAACATACCTGGCTCAACCAGAGTAGATGGCTTTTTAGTTTACATGGTCTGTTATGTTTTGTGTTCTCCATGCTCAGGGCTTCCTCCATCAGGCAGTTGGCAGGACCTGAAGGATCATATGCGTGAAGCTGGTGATGTTTGTTATGCAGATGTACAGAAAGATGGAATGGGTATAGTTGAATTTCTCCGTAAGGAAGATATGGAGTACGCACTGCGTAAACTGGATGACACCAAATTCCGATCTCATGAGGTGGGTTCGTGCCTTCAGGGGAAGAGCATGTGTGTATGCAGTCATGGAGAAGCATACATTTCTTTCCGTGCCATGCTGCTCTCAAGAGACGTAACAGCAGAACCTTGGAGCTGGTGATTAATTGTAACACACTTCAATAATTTTGAGAGGTTTAGCATTTGTGAAACATACCTCACAGTGGCTCAGTATATTATGCTCTGACAGCACACGGAGGAAATCTAATTTTGGATATTTTTAAATACATAACCGGAAGGACAAGGCACACATGAGCCTGTTTGTGAAAAACATGAGTTGTTCTGTTTGGTACATCCTTTGTGTGGAAACAAAGGGTTTGGACTGCTTGCTGCCAGCTTGCTTTTGTGTACTTCTGAAGGGCTTAGTAGCTCAAAGCCTTCTTTCAAGTAAGTGAGCTCAGCTCACCACTCGCAGCTGGAGCAAACTTCCTCATTCTCCCAAAGGATGAGCTGGTAAGCATCTGTACAGGTTGCTATAGCCGTCTTTTTTCCTCCCCAGGATGGAGCATCATTTTGTGGGAATCTCTGTAAGGTTCTGATGTCTAAACTAGTAAGTCACAGCTGTCTGGTTCTTAAAGCTGTGCTACTTCACTGTATCCACCTTTTCCAGTGGCTAAGTTGTTCTGCTGCAACCATCTCTGGCAGTTGAAGGTTGAGTATTTGCTGTGGAGATTCCCCTACTGGTACATGACTGTTACCAGAGCTTGGCCTCTCCATACTGTGCTACAGGATCATATTGGCTTGTATAGCTACTATCCTCCAGCATTTAAGGATGGAGTTTGCCCATTCCTTCACCTTCAGTCAGACCAGCTTCCAACAGCCTCTTCCATTTGATTGAACTAGGAGGAACTTGTTCAGGGTTTCCTGTTCCAGCTGTTGAGTCTCTGCCCTTTAGAGATGAGGATGATAGCTAACAAGATACTCCTTGCTAGTACATGTGCAATATTTTATAAAGTATGCTTTTCTCCATAAGCATCAAGTATCAGAGCAGTTTTTCCTGAGCGGCAGTAGTTGAACTTAGTAGTATCTTTGGTTATTTATGTATTGGTTCTAGGCTCCATTTGGTGTTGTTCATGCTAGTGAAGAACTATTAATTGGGATGCAGAATTAAAAAAATTGGGTTTTCTTTTTTGTTTAAATTTCAGGGTGAAACTTCCTATATCAGAGTCTGTCCTGAAAGAATTTCCAGCTATGGCTACTCACGGTCCCGTTCTGGGTCAAGGGGTCGTGATTCTCCATACCAAAGCAGGGGATCACCACGGTACTCCTCCCCCTTCAGGCCATACTGATTGCATCCAACAACAGGGACTTCTTAAAATGTGAACTGAGCTGCTTTCTGCTCGGAATTTACATTCCAAAACTGATGGATAGTTTTTCGTAGGAACTCGTTTTTTTTATTCAATAAAAATCTTTTTTTTATGATTTACAGTTCTTACTAGGGCAATGTTGGCAACACTTTGAAAAGTTGCAGTTCATTTTGGTGTGTTGTTTGAAAACATGTTAAGGGTTTATTTTTTTCCCTCCTAGCTGAGGAAAAGTAAACTCAAAAATTTGTGCAGTTATCTCCTGGCCTGCAGGATGGTGCTAAACAGTAATGGAGTGACTGTACAGCTCAGCCTGTTGTGTAGAAATATATTTAAATGTTTTAGTAACTCACCAGTGGTGGTTGTCTTTTATGTGAGGATTGTATTAAAAAGAGGTGGGAGTAGATGCAAGCAATTCTCTGTCCCATGCCCACTGGTTGCCCATCTGCTTAAGAAGGGAGAACAGTTTTCAGTAGCAAAATTGTGCAGTCTAGGGTAGCAGAGGGAAAAACAGTGCCTGAAGACATTTTATTTACAGAGAAACTAATCCTATTTCAAAAGAGGGAAAGCTTACTGCATTAAGAAAAAAAGAAGATAGCAATTAGAATGCTGCTAAGTAGCTTGTTGGTTGCAGGTTTCCTTGGTTGGTTGGTTGGTTTGGGGTTGTTTTTTTGGCGGTGTGGGGAGGGGGGTTTTGTTGTTGTTTTTTTTAAAACACATAAACCAAGCATTCTCTATGCTTGTAATAGTCTAGTTTGGTTTACAAATAACTCAACTACAGTACAGAAAAAGCTACCGGCTTCACGGTTTCAGATAAATGGTAGAACAAAGAATTGTGTCTAACTGTCACACTACTCAGTGCAGGGCTACAACTACTGCTTTCCTTGCATCTCAGAGCAATTTATAAACAAGACAGCATCGTCACTTCCAAGATGGAGAAAGTGATTTGCCCTAGTTGCTGAGGACATAACACTGGTCAGGTTCCAGTCCAGTTTCTCCTAGGCACATTGCTGAGAATGGCAAAGGCATCTGTTAGCTTTCTGCTAATGGCATCTACTTGCACCTTTTAAGCTTGCTGAACTGTTTCAATTCCTAAGATGTGTTCTGACATCACAAAGGCTATTGTGCGTGTCTAAGCGTAGCACATTTATTTAAGGCAGGCTCTGTCGCACTAAGAAGTTTCAGCAGGACAAATAAATGCACTGCTTATAGCACCTTTCATTCCCCTAATAAGTGATTTTACCATTGAAAACAAACTACTAGCACTACTACAACTACATTTGCTTGGAACAAAGTTCTCTACTGTTTTATTATACACCAGGCCATCACAGTGTTATAATCAGGTTCTTGCTGATTTAAAAAAAAACAAACCCAATTTTCAGGTTAAAAAAGTAACCCAAAATCCACATTTTTCTGTGATCAAAATGAAACACCAGTAATACATGGATATGTATGTAGTGGTGTTTCATTTTGATCACAGAAAAATGTGGATTTTGGGTTCCTTTTTTAACCTGAAAATTGGGTTGTTTTGTGTGTTTGTTTTTTAATCGGAGAAAACCAGGATCCCTGGTTATGATGATCAGAAAGCAGCCAGAACTTCAGTTTAATCAATGTATACGGATGGTCAAATGGCCTCTCACAATAAGTGCTTTCCACTGACCTTTCTGGGCAGGGCATTCAACTTTACATTAAAAAAATCACTTGTATGTATAAACAAACTCTGTACACCTTACCTAAATGTAGGAATTTGGCATATTAGCACAGCATTCCACAAGGCTATACTTGGAAAGCAATATATATACAAATGTAAGACTAGTCAGAGCTGAGAGAGATGGAGGCATGTGGTAAAAACAACATTTTCTCAAAGTGCTTTTTTAATCTAGCAGAAGTTCCCTCAGCAGTACCTGTTCTACTGTACTGAACTTCGAGGGTTTCTTTTCCTGATTCGACCTCTTATATCTAAGCCAGGAAGTGAAAAATAGTTTAAGTGAATTAAGTTCTAACAAAACTGCAGTATCTAATTTCTTCTCCAGCCCCTCTCATAACTTGATAGAAAAGTTGGATTGTCCTAGTTTCCCTTGTCATCAAGGCTGTGATACACAGATGTATCTAGAGTACTGAACTTGTTTGACGCTCTCCAGGTTGACACTTCAGCCCTACCAAATGCAGACTAAGCAAACGATATTGAGGCCATATTTCTATTTTGAAAGTGGCTAACACCTTCCACCTTCATGTATATTTTAAAATAATCCAAACAAATCCTTTGATAGAAATAAAATATTGTAAAGAGGAGGAGCAGAAAGAATCAGTACTCGTGTGTGAGTGTTGTTCTTGGGATAATGTAACATCAGTTGTAGCTACATAAGATTAATTGTCCCCAACAGCATACTGCTGAAAGAACCAGTGTGGCATTCTGGCCCAAGCTTTTCAGTTGGAGTCCTGCAGGAAGCTCTCATGCTCTTCTAACTTTGGTAGAGGGATGTTACCTAACAGGAAACAGATAATGAGAGTATGAGACAGCCTGCTAGTTTCCTGAATGATATTGCTGCAACTCACATGCTTGTCCTTGTGGCTTAAACACTTACCAGTGACTAGGTTTTCCCCTGCAAAAAAGCTGCACTTGAGTTTACAGAAAGCTGCTTTTTGTAAAGAGTCTGCATAAGCAACATTAGGTGTAACTATAAAGCCATAACTTCTGCAGTGCTACTAAGTAATAATGAGCTAGGGTCCCATCCCTCTATCTTAACAAGCGACTGTGGTTATCACCCTAGTTCAGTACATGCTTACCACCATTTAGTATACACAGAAGCGAATTAATTGACAGGTTAATACTTCTTAAAACCAGGGCAGGTATCAAGTCCCATTTAGCATCATCTGTAACAGAACTCTACCTGGTGGAGATTCAAAATATTCTTCTGCTGTCCGGCTGGCATTTTGTAGCAGCTCCTTGGTGCAGTTGCCTTCTGTGATGTTATCTTCTCTGAGATACAGACACCTGGGGAGCACAGGAAACTTAATGTTCTTTTTCCAAATGACCTACTTTGCCAACTATGCTTTGGAGAGTCTGATACAGGATGCAAAGTCATGCTCTAGAAGCAGAAGGAAGTGCCTTAAAAACTTGTCATACTAAAATATGCTAGTTGCATCTTGAATTTAGGTCTTGCTCAGAGACCCCTGGCAGCTGGGTAACTCATTTCTGTCAGTTCCATGGTTCAGGTCAAGCTTTACATTTGACCAGGCACATGTGTTGTTGCCACTTACTGAGCTTTCCTGAAATGAGCAATACCATGTCATGAGTTCTCTGAAGAAACAAATACAGCAGTTGGCCTAGTGCTTAAGATTATCAGCCCTACTCTGTATAGAGCTGAGTGAAACAAATTTCTCATATAAGCATGCAGAAAAGCTGGTTTCTTGATGAACTGAAGCTGCTAAAGAAACTAATACAAAGAAGGCATTGTGTTTATAAACTGTCCCTGAAGCTGTTCAGTGTGCAAAACACCAGGTGCAAGAACATTCTGGAGTGATTTACAATGATTTTGCATTTGTAATACAGGATATTTTCTAACATGAATGGTCTACATAAGAACATTAAGAAATTTGTGTACAGCTTTGTAGTGTTTATATTCCAAGTTTAGGGACACTGTGGACACTCCTCTACCCCTCTCAAAAGAAAAAAAACACCTGACCTAGAATAAAGGATTTTGTGGAGGACCAGCCAACTGCATAGTTGGCATGATTAGTGGAAAAAAATTATCAAACTTTACTGCAGCTTTTCTTTGGAAAACTAGTAGTTAAAGCAGGTCACTAACCATAAGTTTTTACCTGTCCTCAAGTACTGAATCCATTGGCTCTATCCCTTCTGTGTTGACCTCATGAAGTTGATCAGCAAATTGAATTGCTTTCTCCAGCCGCTCTACACCCTCCCAATTGCGAAAATCAACTAGTGCCAGTCGTTCCAGATGATCAAGCAACTCCACAGTTACTTTTTTCTTTGAGAAAGGTGGGGGGGAAAAAGAAGTCACATATTTAGGTCCTGGAAGAAGACTACCATATGGGGATGAGTTAGGATAGGCAGAATAAACATAAAGCTAGATAAAACTATCCTGAGTCTTCACCAGAGGATATTAGGAATTCCTCTATTATTCGGTCTCAGATTTGCAGTGATCATTTAGCAGAAGCAGACTGGCCTGGACTAAATGTACATATGTTGATGTTGATTATACCTGAGGAAGCGGTTTCTGTTCCTCCAGTTGCCATTCTGGATTCTGATCAATCTAAAGTGGAAGAGATGGGCCATGATAAATATAAGGCACGGTAGGTGAAAACAGACTAACCAAATAGATAGCATATATGTGCGCACACACACTTGTTAGTCTACACTGCCTGCCAGCACAGGTGCCAGAGTGCAGCAAACAAAAGCATTTTGCTTGGCACACGTGCCTTAGGGTGGATGGCAGGGAAGGGACCAGGGCTATACTGCCTTGCGGACCCTGCTATCTGCCCCGGCATGCCAGTATCTGTCAGGTCAAGGTTATGGGTGTTTGGGGCACTCTGCCCAAAAACGTTACCAAGCCCTGATCTACAAGGTGCAAATCACTGCTGCCTCCTGCCTGATAGCTCTACACTGCTTGGAGGCCCCGGGAAGGACAAGTCTCTGTCCGCTGGGGATTTTTACAGTATGTTTAACTGACTCCACATTGAGGGGGAAATTCCCGAGAGGAGGCAGAAGGCACCGAATCGGACCAAGAAACGGAGCAAAGAGACCGGGTCCCCCTCCAGCCTTCTCGCTCTCGCACCCGGACCCGGGATGCTCGGTGCAACTGGAGCCCGAGAAAACAACAGGCCCGGGCCCAGCCCCTGCCCTCAGCGGTGCCGGGCTCTCGCTTCCAAGGAGGCGCCCCCCAGGCGGAGCCTCCCGCCCCCAGCCCATGGGGCGCGACAGCGCGTGACCGGCCCCAGCGCTGGCAGCCACCTGCCGACCACCGGCCGTCCCCCGCGCTAGGCGGCTCCTGCCCCAGGACCAGGCGGCGCAAAGGCAGCGGCCGTTTCGCAGCGCCCACATCCCGGCCCGACGGAGGAGCCGCGCGGCGGAAATGCGCGATCCAACTGCGCCGGGCGGGAAATACGTCACGGCGAGACCCGCCCCTCGGGCGGTGGCAGTTCCGCCATGAACAGCGTGGGCGAGGCCTGCACAGAGCTGAAGCGCGAGTACGACCAGTGCTTCAACCGCTGGTTCGCTGAGAAGTTCCTCAAGGGCGAGAGCGCGGGGGACCCCTGCGTGCAGCTCTTCAAGCGCTACCAGCTCTGCGTGCAGGTGGGCGCCGCGCCCGCGTGAGGGACCCGCCTCCTGGTCTTCCCCTGTAGGGAAGCTCCGGCCCGTCGTGCCGCGTGAGGCCGGGGCAGAGGAAGGGGCTGCGAGCCGGGGAGATGCTAAACCCCCTTAGCCTGCACCCGCTGCTGCTCCTGCTCTCGGCGTCCTGGTGGGGAAACGCACCCCGGGGCCCGGGCGCCGCCGGGAGAAGAAATGCCGTGCGACAGCTGTCGGGACGTTCGTTGACACCGTGGTGACGTCTGCGGTGGCAGCACAGGCTCCTCTTCCCTCTTCTTTTCTCAAATGTTTCCTCTTCAAACACATCCCTTGCGTCTATTTCTCACCTGGCTTTACAAACTCTCAAGTGTTTTATTTCCTTGAGCTGGAACATGGGATGAGGAGCTGCCCAGCATGGCACAGACGTCAGTGGGATGCTCTTATTTGCAACGCTACCTCACTGAGAAGCTACGATGACCTGTAGGGCTGTATTATATAATGCCCATAGTGAGCTGATTTGGATCGCTAGAACTATCCAGAGTCATATAAGCTTTTTAACAGGCTAAAACTTCACAAAGGAGCAGCCTTTCCAGGCCAATCTAAAGAAGCATTACCACCTCTTCTTACAGAAACTACTCAATATACATGAGGTTACATTTGCTCATTTTGCAGTATGAGCTCATCAGCAGGATCCACACCCTGCAAGGGGCCAAACACCTGAGCCATCATTCCTTAATGATTTCCAGTGCAGGTAGAAGGGGTTGACTGCACAGTTCAGCCCAAACTGAACTTCCCTGAGATGTTCTGCATCCTGGGAATTGAAGTCTAATAATTAGATATTTTCTGGGGTCTCCTTTGTTCAGAACTAGAATGAAGTCTGTCTGTTCTAGATGGTAGGTCTCCCATCTGTGTTTCAAATCAACAAATGGAATTGATGGTACCTCAGCCTGTTCACTGAGAATCTTTTGAGTGTCCCTTTGGGGATTTTTAGCCATTTAATTTTACAAAACTTACCGTTTCCACTCATGCCTTCTTTACTGTTTCCTTATATTTCATTATTCATAACGTGCATTCTCCTTTCCCTTTTGGTTAAGAACCACTTCATTAATTTCTTTCCTTCAGCGAAGGAGTTCTATTCCTCCCATGGTGCTGTAAATCTAAAATCTAGTCCTCCACAAATCCTTCATCCTCTTCTGTTTTTGTTTTTTCTGCTTCCAGCACTGTGGCTTCTTCAGAGAGTCCCTCAGTTTGCTTTCCTTCCCTTACCAAGTAGAATTTGTCCTGTTACTGAGGGGGGGTGTTGGGAGGGAGTGTGCATGTGAGATGAGTGAGGGTCTAGGCTGCAGTTCAGTACTGATTTAGCAGGAGCTCTCTCAGTTTCTGTGGTCCATCTTGGATGAAAGCCTTAATACCAATTTGAGCTAGAGCAGAGTAGTCTTAAATCACATCAGGCACCAAGAAAGTCTTCACAGCAAAAGATGTATAAAATATTTGCTTTTTTTTCTCCTAGAAAGCTATTAAGGAGAAGGACATCCCCATTGAAGGGCTGGAATTCATGGGCCCCAGCAAAGGAAAAGCTGAAGACTCCTCATGACTTCAGTTGGACCGCACAGAACCATTAGCTTGATCTTTTGGCTCAAAAAAAATCATCTTACAAAAGACTAGAGGACAGCTGATGGGAAGGTGGCTTTAAATCGGCTGCTGCTTCTGTCTGTTTTTTTTAAAAAGCAAGGAGTCGTCTGTGCAATTTTTTTATGCTGAGCTGTGGGGCAATTACTGTTTCATTTGTAATGAGCATTGGTGGTGGTTTGCATTCTGCAATGTGAAAAACCTTTCATTTAACTTCCTAAACAAATGTACTTTGAACTGAGGAATGCTTGTTAGGATTGGTTTCTATTTCTTATTTATATATTAGATGATTTTGAATGTTAAGATGAACGTGAAAAGGTGCATGCTGCCAAATTTTAGTGGGCTACTTCTTGGTTGATCCTGGTTTTACTAAATATTATGGGCTACAGCCTTGCCTCATCCATTGAATTATAGCAGTGTTTTAAATGCTACCACCATTGGGTCTGCAGTGTTTGGACATATGTAATGAAGAATGTAGCCTTGTCTGGTCAAGTTATACTTAACTAAAGGATGCAGGAGTGTAGTTAAACCTGCCTTTGGCCTTCAAGAAAGGCGGAAGGCAGCCTGCCACAGGGGAGAAACACCAACTTCAGGAGTTATGCTTAGTACACTTAAAGCACTGATAATATGTTACCACTGTCTACTAGCAAGCGACTCCAGCTTCAAGAGTAAAGTTGCAGTGCATGCTTGGTCAGTATCCTTTACACCTTTCCCTGCTATACCATAAAAATGCCAGACTGGCCCTAGTTACTAGATTTGGCTTTAGGCAGACTTTGAATTGGATAAGGGCATCTGTATTGCTTTTCTCTCAGTAGAGACTTGTTGCTACTTTGGAGCCAGAATAAAAATCTGAAGGAAGAAGAAGAAAAAGCACATCAAGATAGGACTACCGAAGGCATGTCCAGCACCCAAATGTAGTTGTTTAGTCTTTTTCTTTTTTTTTTTTTTTTTTTTTT